AGCCCATTTTTCGGCAGGACCCCCCAATGTTGAGCCAATTTTTCGGCATGACCCCCCAATGTTGAGCCAGTTTTTCGGCAGGACCCCCCAATGTTGAGCCAATTTTTCGGCAGGACCCCCCAATGTTGAGCCAATTTTTCGGCAGGACCCCCCAATGTTGAGCCAATTTTTCGGCAGGACCCCCCAATGTTGAGCCAATTTTTCGGCAGGACCCCCCAATGTTGAGCCAATTTTCCGGCAGGACCCCCCAATGTTGAGCCAATTTTTCGGCAGGACCCCCCAATGTTGAGCCAGTTTTTCGGCAGGACCCCCCAATGTTGGGCCAGTTTTTCGGCAGGACCCCCCCAATGTTGAGCCAGTTTTCCGGCAGGACCCCCCAATGTTGAGCCAGTTTTTCGGCAGGACCCCCCAATGTTGAGCCAATTTTTCGGCAGGACCCCCCAATGTTGAGCCAATCTTTCGGCAGGACCCCCCAATGTTGAGCCAATTTTTCGGCAGGACCCCCCGTCCCACAAGTGTTGCACCAGGTTTTCGTCAGGACCCCAGGGTTTGGGCTCTAGGGTTTAGGGCCTAGGGTTTGGGCTTTAGGGTTTAGGGCCTAGGGTTTGGCCTTTAGGGTTTAGGGCCTAGGGTTTGGTTTTGGGCTTTAGGGTTTAGGGCCTAGGGCTTTAGGGTTAGGGGTTAGCGCTTGGGCTTTAGGGTTTAGGGCCTAGGGTTTGGGCTTTAGAGTTTAGGGCCTAGGGTTTTGGGCTTTAGGGTTTAGGGCCTAGGGCTTTAGGGTTTGGGTTTAGCGCTTGGGCTTTAGGGTTTAGGGCCTAGGATTTGGCCTTTAGGGTTTAAGGCCTAGGGTTTGTTTGGGCTTTAGGGTTCAGGACCTAGGGTTTGGGCTTTAAGTTTAAGGCCTAGGGTTTGGGCTTTAGGGTTTAGGGCCTAGGGTTTGGGCTTTAGTGTGTCATGCTTCTTTCTGTAAGGCAAAAAAGATGACACATAGCCGGCCTGAAATGTGTCATGCTTTTTCTGTAAGGCGGAAAAGATGACACATTTCCGGCTTGAAATGTGTCATGTTTCTTTCTGTAAGGCGGAAACGATGACACTCTGCAAGCCGGAAAAATGACACATTTCCGGCCTGAAATGTGTCATGCTTCTTTCTGTACTGCAGCAATAGAAACATAAGTATATGCTAGAAATCAAGGCGTAGGGTTTGAGGTTTGATGTCGTCTGAGGGTAACGAAAAATTTTTTCTAACTCTTATGTTTGGGGATTCTTTGGGTGGGTGGGTATTCTTCCAGGTTCTTACTAGCGAACTTGACTAGATACTGCTCGACCAGAGCTGCTGAACCCTAAACCCTAAACCCTAAACCCTAAACCCTAAACCCTAAACCCTAAACCCTAAACCCTAAACCCTAAACCCTAAACCTAAACCCTAACCCTAAACCCAAACCCTAAACCCTAAACCCTAACACCCTAAACCCTAAACCCTAAACCCTACAACCCTAACCCTAAACCCCTAAACCTAAACCCTAAACCCAAAACCCTGAACCCTAAAAACCCTAAACCCGAACCCTAAACCCTAAAACCCTAAACCCTAAACCCTAAAACCTAAACCCTAACCCTAAACCCTAAACCCTAAAAAACCCTAAACCCTAAACCCTAAACCCTAAACCCTAAACCCTAAACCCTAAAACCCTAAAACCCTAAAAAAAACAAACCCTAACCAACCCTAAACCTAACCCCTAACCCTAAACCCTAACCCTAAAACCCTAAACACTAAACCCTAAACCCTAAACCCTAAACCCTAAACCCTAAACCCTAAACCCTAAACCCTCAAGAAAGTGATAAATAGAAATTGCTTGTCCTTGTTTGTAAGCACCGCTAAGGCCCAGCATTTCGATTAGAATTGGCGTTAGCTTCTTGATAGTCCAATTTCGCACAACCCCGACCTCAACTTCTAACTCAGCCCAGCCAACTCAAAACAGCCTCCACAACCTCAACCATTAACTCAGCCCAGCCAACTCAAACCAGCCACCCGATCAAAAACGGAACAAGCTTCTTGATAAACCAATTTCGCACAACCACGACCTCAACTTCTAACTCAGCCCAGCCAGCCAAGCCAAAACGGTCCAGCCCAGCCCAGCCCAGCCGGCCCAACACACCGATTAAAAATTGAGTAAGCTTCTTGATAAACCAATTTCTCCACAAACTTGTAACCACTATTACGGCCCAACACGCCGCTTAAAATTGAACAAGCTTCTTGATAAACCAATTTCTCCATAACCTCCAACCCAGACCCCAAATCCAGGCCCCAAGACCCAGACGCCAAATCCAAGCACCAAAAAAGGCCCAAAACCAGCCCCAATCTAAACCCCAAACCCAAATCCCAGCCCAAATCCAGGCCCAGCCCCTTCCCAGACCCAGATCCAGGTCCCTCCCAAACCCCAAATCCAGAATCCAGGCCCAGCCAAATCCAGCCCCAAATCCAGGCCCAGAGGTCGGGCCCGGGCAGGTGCACACCCGGCAGTGGCTCTTAGCGCACTGCTCATGGTTTCTCTGGCCCAGCCCAAGGCTCCTCGTGCGGGGGCGTGGGGGGGAGGGGGGGAGGGGAGTGGGGGCGGAGGGAGGGTGGAGGGTGGTTGGATTCCAGGGCCCAAATCCAAATCCCGATTCGGTGGGCTGCGGAAAGCGGTGGCGGAACCCGAGCCTGGGGCAGAGCCTAGGGGCTGGCCTAGGCAAAGCTTAGGGGCTGGCCCGGGCAGAGCCTTGGGGCTGGAGCACCACCAAACGCTTAGGATAAACCTTTTTTGTTGGTGCGCACCCACTAGGCAGAGCCTGGGGGGCTGGCCTAGGCAGAGCCTAGAAGCTGGCCTGGGCAGAGCCTACGGGGCTGGCCTAGGCAGAGCCCAGACACCACCAAACGCTTAGGATGGACCTTGGCAGAGCCGGGGCTGGCATAGGCAGAGCCTAGGGGCCTGGGGGCTGGCCTAGGCAGAGCCTAGGGGCTGGCCTGGGCAGAGCCTACGGGGCTGGCCTAGGCAGAGCCCAGACACCACCAAACGCTTAGGATAAACCTTTTTTTGTTGGTGCACCCGATTTCCTGGGTCTGGCCTAGGGGCTGGCCTTGGCAGAGCCTAGGGGCTGGCATAGGCAGAGGCACCACCAAACGCTTAGGATAAACCTTTTTTTGGTGCACAGTCGATTTGCTCGGGGCTGGCCTAGGCAGAGCCTAGGGGCTGGCCTAGGCAGAGCCCAGGGGCTGGCATCCCAGGCAGCTGGCCTAGGCAGAGCCTAGAGGGCGGGCACCACCAAACGCTTATCCAAAAGCTGGCCTAGAGCCCACCAAATCTCCAGGCCCCAGACCCTAATTCGTTGGGTTCGTTTCGTTGAAAACGTTTTTGGCACCCAAACCCTTAACAATTTCTTCCAGGCCCAGCCCCAAATCCAGGCCCCAGACCGCGAATCCAGGCCCAGCCCCAAATCCAGGGTTTGGGTTCAGCTGCCGTAAAATTGAAAAGATCTTGTCAAGCTAGCGAGAAGCCGGCAATCCTTATCCCGATGTATTTTATGAAGCGCAACTACCTGGAAAGCTAGAAGCCTGTAGTGGTCTTCCACTGTTACAGCGCCAGCAGCTCAAGGGTCTAGGTCCTAGGCCCCCATTCTTCGACACACTGTCCTTTGCCGTCTGGCTTACTTTGTTTGCGAAGGCGAAGTGTCTGAACAACATGCAATCCCAGTAGATTCGTCGCCATGCCTCGCTATTGCCATGGCTTCGAGGATCCATCAGGAGACGGAGCCCGACCATGCATTTTCTCGCAAGATGGTAGAGGTGGACCTGCGCAAACCAGCAACAAGAGCTGCGTACTGTGCAGTCTGGAAAGCCTAGAACTCGCTCTTGGTTCTCGTGTGGCCAGAGGCAATTTGATCAGACAGCTGAAGCACTGGCGGCAAGTCGGGTCGCCTACATATGAAGCGGCATTTGGGTTGGGATCATTGTGTGTGCTATCTGCCAGCGAGCAATGTGGCTTGCGGGCAAAGGCCGGAGAGCGTCGCAACTTCAAGCCATCCAGCAGTTGGTTGCATAAGAAGCAACGGCGCCTGAGGCAGTTCTTGCTCGGCCGAGCAATCCCGCGGACGAGCCTGAGCACCCGCAGCCGAAAATATGTGCAGTCTGCATCAAGCCAGCGCAGTGGTGGCCAAAGCTGGATTCTTCACTATTACTCTGTGCACAATCGCAAGATGGCACATCGTCTTGCCACTGCGTTAAAGAAAGTCGCAGGTGGTACAGTTTGGAAGGGGAAGAAGGCGTCGCTGAGAGGATACCGCCAAAGATGGTGGCGAGCTCGGAGGGAACTGAGACGAAGATATTCTGAGCTGATGGCTATGGCTGAAGGGCCTCTTTTGAGCTGCAGAGCCGCGAAGTGGGCAATCGAAGAGGATATACTGCAAGCTGGCTTTCGAGTGCCTCTATCTGACAGGATGTCATGCCAGAATCATCCGCAATGGAGATTCTTGGCTGAAACCGGCCACATCCTTTACTTCCAGAGCCCGCATGAAAGTCTGGATTTCGCACAGAAACAGTTGGCGAGTGCGACGTGCTCCATCAACAACGCACTGGGCAGACCCACGTGCGACATCACTTTGCAGACGGCCCAACGCCTATTGAAGGCACGCGGTTCTGAACATGATTGGCGCATGTGTGTGAAGCGGGATGGCAAGATACTGTCTCCTTTCGCCGTTGGCTGTGCCCTGGAACAGATTGGTTTCAAATTGCAGTATTGTTCTGACCCAAGCATTTGGCCAGCTGGAGCACAGAGCCTGCTGCAAATCCGTGGCGACCAGAATTCTGGTAATGAGCATTGGGCTGCTCTGACATCCTGTGATGGCCGAATATATGTGTTAGATTGCTTCCAAGGCAAGCCTGAGCTGGTCATGAATTGGCACCCAGACTTGCAACCTTGCGAAACCTACGCGGTGCTCCGGCTTGGAGCCTGAAGCCTGAAGTGTCACCAAAACGAGCTTGGCTCATCGTGCAGACAGCTGTGTGCTCGTTCTAGTTTGAATTCTATGCACTCGCTCAGCACTGGCTCATGTAAACAGTCTTGCCTTGCTGACGCGGCTTTGATGAGGGTTGGGTAATTCGATTGGCAACCGATGCTTTCGAGCCGGTGGTCCACGTCAGGAGCCACCGCACATCCATCAGCAGCGAAAGGAGATGCCAAGCAGGCTCGAAGCTGAGGGGGCACACATATAACAGTCATGACGCTGCCACAACATGTCGACACAACCGTCCACAGTAGTATCCGAGCCACTTTTGTGCTTTTTCTTGCTGGTGCTCCTAAATACACTTGTTGGCACACCTTGCCAAGTCCTTGATCCTTACTAGTCGCGCCTGGGGGCCCCTTGCACGTAGTAGTTAGTAGTTAGTAGCCATTCGTTGCAATCGAAGCAGCCTGCATTGTGGAGGCCGTTCATATCGCCAAAAACAACATTCGGATCTTGCAATAGCTGGCCTAGCCAAGCGCCCAACAGCCCAGCCCCCAGCCCAGCCCCGCCCAGCCCACCCAGCCCACCCAGCCCCGCCTGGTCCAACCCAGCCCAACGCAGCCCAGCCCACAGCCCAGCCGCCAACGCGAGCCTTCAACCCTCCCCAGACCAGCCCAGCCAGCCCAGCCCAGCCCAGAGCTCAGCCCAGACCAGCAAATTGAAAATGTGGCAAAGAACTTTCGGTCAAAACGTTTCGTTCAAAAGTTTCGTTCAAAACGTTTCGTTCAAAACGTTTCGCTCAAAACGTTTCGCTCAAAACGTTTTTGGCGCCCAAGAGCCCAGCCCCCCAACAAATTTGAAAACATGGTTCCCAAAAAGAAACTCTTTTGGGCACCGGCCAACCCTCCACCTCTTGCACAAGAGCGGAAGGTTGCCCGACCTCGAAAAACTTCCCGGGAAGTTTTTCGAGGTCGGACAACCTTCCGTTCTTGTGCAAGAGGTGGAGGGTTGGCCGGTGCCCCAAAAAGTTATTGGGACCCAAACCCTTAACAATTTCTATAAACCCTAAACCCTAAACCCTAAACCCTAAACCCTAAACCCTAAACCCTAAACCCTAAACCCTAAACCCTAAACCCTAAACCCTAAACCCCTAAACCCTAAACCCTAAACCCTAAACCCCTAAACCCTAAACCCTAAACCCTAAACCCTAAACCCTAAACCCTAAACCTTAAACCCTAAACCCTAAACCCTAAACCCTAAACCCTAAACCCTAAACCCTCAAGACAGGATAAATAGAAATTGTATACCGTGACAGCGCAGCTCCTACTTTGAGAAATTGAAATGTGGTCTCAGCGACAAGGCTGAGAGGGCTTATCCGGAGAGCTTTTCCTCAAACAAAACAGGAACCTGAAGGTATGCAGTTCAGGAGCTAGCCGACCTTCCCCCTCCCCCTCCCTCCCCCTCCCATCCCTATTGACGGCTTTTTCCGCCCCTTCCACAGTTGGCAGTTGTCAGGGAAGGTAGTGGCAGAAATCAATGGGGCGGGGTCTTCCCCCCGCCCCCCCTCCCCCGCCCTCCCCTCACGCCCCCCTCCCCCACCCTCCCTCCCTCCCCCTCCCCACCCGGTGCCTCCTCCGGAGGGTGGCACGAGTCTCACGGGGGGTAGTGGGCAGACACCAAAAAACAATCCTCAACTAAAATGGGGTGTGGGGTTCCCCCCGCACCCTCCCCACCCTCCCCCCTCTCCCTCCCCCCCCACCCGGTGCCCCCTCCGGAGCCCTCCCCCCTTCCCTCCCCCTCCCCCTCCATCCGCTCTGCCCCTCCCACCCCCTTCCCACCCCCCTCCCCTCCCAACCCGCTCACTTAGACCGCAACCAGCGTGGAGTGCCAGGTGCGTATCCTCAAGAAGAAGAAGGCCGGGAGCGGGAACGAAGCCGTGCAGGCTCGCCTGCATGGTGTCCCAGGTACGTGGTCCCAACCCCAAGAAGACCGAAGTGAGGAGGTGAGCGCTGATTATCCTCAACCAATGTGGGGTCCCAGGTCGTGAGGTGCGTGCTCTCGCGGACCAGGCCGGCGCAATATGGGGTTCCAGGCGCGTGGTCTCAGCCCGAAGAAGGCGGAGGCGGGGACGAGGCCGGAGCTGGGGTCCCAGGTGCGTGCTCGGCAGGGACGAGGCCGGAGCGCTTATCCTCAACCAATATGGGGTCCCAGGTGCGAAAGCGGAGGCGGGGACGAGGCCGGAGCGCTTATCCTCGACTAACGTGGAGTCCCAGGTACGCGATCTCGGCCCGAAGAAGGTGAAGGTGGGGACGAGGGCGGAGCACTTATCCTCAACCGATATGGGGTCCTAGGTGCGTGCCCTACCGCAGCGTGCATCAGTGCCAGGTGCTTGAAGCCAGAAGAAGGCGATCTTCAAGAGGAGGCGACAACAAGCTCGAAGGACTTACTCTCAGAATACGTTCTCGGCGCGTGGTCTCAACCTGAAGAAGACAGAGGCGGCGACAAGGCCGGATCGCCTATCCTCAACTGTCATGGGTTCCCAGGTTCGTGGTCTGGAGCGAACAGAAGCCGAGACCAGGCCGGAGTGCCTATCCTCAATCAATATGGGGTCCCAGGTGCGCGGTCTCAACTTGAAGAGGATGGAGGCGGGAACCAGGCCGGAGCACTTCTCCTCAACCAAAACCGGGTCTGAGGTGCGTGGTCTCACCTCGAACAGGACGGAGGCGAGGAGAGGCCGGAGTGCCTATCCTCAACCAAGATAGGCTCCCAGGTGCATGGTTTCATCTTGGAGAAAAGAGAAAGGACGAGGCCTCAACCAATATGAGGTCCGAGGTGCGTGACCCCAGCAAAAAGACGACGGAGGCAAGGACAAGGCCGGGGTTCGAAGTGCGTGGCCCCAGGAAGCTCAATCTGAAGAAGACAGAGGCAAGAACGAGGCCGGGAGGGCTTATCCTCAACCAATATAAGTTTCCGAGGCGTGGAAGCTCAAGATGAAGAAGGGCAAGGACAAGGCCGGGAGGGTTTATCATCAACCAATATGGGTTTCCAAGACGTGGGGCCTCAAGCTGCAGAAGCGCAATGACAAGGCCGGGAGGGTTTATCCTCAACTAGTATGGGTTTCCGAGGTGTGGAAGCTCACAAGTCGAAGAAGACAGAGGCAAGGACAAGGCCGGGAGGGTTTATACTCAACCAGTATGGGTTTCCGAGGTGCGGAAGCTGACAAGTCGAAGAAGACAGAGGCAACGGCAAGGCCGGGAGAGCTTATCCTCAACCGATGTGGGTTTCCGAGGTGCGGAAGCTCACAAGTCGAAGAAGACAGAGGCAACGGCAAGGCCGGGAGAGCTTATCCTCAACCGATGTGGGTTTCCGGGGTGTGGACGCTCCAGCCGAAGAAGACAGAGGCAGGGACAAGGCGGGAAGGCTTATCCTCAACCGGTATGGGGTTCCGAGGTGTGGGAGCTCAAGCCGAAGAAGACAGAGGCAAGGACAATCCAGGGTATGGAAGCTTGAGCCTCAACCAATGTGGGTTGACGAGGTGTGTGGTCTCAGCGACAAGGCTGAGAGGGCTTATCCGGAGAGCTTTTCCTCAAACAAAACAGGAACCTGAAGGTATGCAGTTCAGGAGCTAGCCGACCTTCCCCCTCCCCCTCCCTCCCCCTCCCATGCCCTATTGACTTCCTTTTAGAGGTGGCAGGGTGGCACGAATTCTCAGGGAAGGTAGTGGCAGAAATCAATGGGGTGCGGGGTCTCCCCCCCGCCCCCCCTCCCCCGCCCTCCCCCCCCTCCTGGGCCGGGAGGGTAGTGGGCAGACACCAAAAGACAATCCTCAACTAAAATGGGGCGTTGGTTCCCGCCCCTCCCCGCCCCCCTCCCCCACCCTCCCCCCTCCCTCCCCCTCCCCACCCGGTGCCTCCTCCGGAGGGTGGCACGAGTCTCACAGGGGGTAGTGACCAAAAAACAATCCTCAACTAAAATGGGGTGTGGGGCTCCCCCGCACCCCTCCCCACCCTCCCCCCCCTCCCTCCCCCCCCACCCGGTGCCCCCTCCGGAGGGTCCCCCCCCTCCCTCCCCCCCTTCCCTCCCCCGCTCCCTTCCCTCCCCCTCGCTCTGCCCCTCCCACCCCCTCCCAAACCCGCTCACTTAGACCGCAACTAGCGTGGAGTGCCAGGTGCGTATCCTCAAGAAGAAAAAGGCCGGGAGCGGGAACGAAGCCGTGCAGGCTCGCCTGCATGGTGTCCCAGGTACGTGGTCCCAACCCCAAGAAGACCGAAGTGAGGAGGTGAGCGCTGATTATCCTCAACCAGTGTGGGGTCCCAGGTGCGTGGTCTCAGTCGAAGAAGGCGGAGGCAGGGACGAGGCCGGAGCACTTATCCTCACCCAATATGGGGTCCCAGGTGCGTGGTCTCAGCCCGAAGAAGGCCACGAGGCCGGAGCGCTTTTCCTCAACCAATATGTTCCAGGCGCGTGCTCGGAGGCGGGAGCGCTTATCCTCAACCAATATGGGGTCCCAGGTGCGTGCTCTCTCGGACCAGGCCGGCGCAATATGGGGTTCCAGGCGCGTGGTCTCAGCCCGAAGAAGGCGGAGGCGGGGACGAGGCCGGAGCTGGGGTCCCAGGTGCGTGCTCGGCAGGGACGAGGCCTGAGCGCTTATCCTCAACCAATATGGGGTCCCAGGTGCGAAAGCGGAGGCGGGGACGAGGCCGGAGCGCTTATCCTCGACCAACGTGGAGTCCCAGGTACGCGATCTCGGCCCGAAGAAGGTGAAGGTGGGGACGAGGGCGGAGCACTTATCCTCAACCGATATGGGCTCCTAGGTGCGTGCCCTACGGCAGCGTGCATCAGTGCCAGGTGCTTGAAGCCAGAAGAAGGCGAGCTTCAAGAGGAGGCGACAACAAGCTCGAAGGACTTACTCTCAGAATACGTTCTCTGCGCGTGGTCTCAACCTGAAGAAGACAGAGGCGGCGACAAGGCCGGATCGCCTATCCTCAACTGTCATGGGTTCCCAGGTTCGTGGTCTGGAGAGAACAGAAGCCGAGACCAGGCCGGAGTGCCTGTCCTCAAGCAATATGGGGTCCCAGGTGCGCGGTCTCAACTTGAAGAGGATGGAGGCGGGAACCAGGCCGGAGCACTTCTCCTCAACCAATATCGGGTCCGAGGTGCGTGGTCTCAACTCGAACAGGACGGAGGCGAGGAGAGGCCGGAGTGCCTATCCTCAACCAAGATAGGGTCCCAGGTGCATGGTTTCATCTTGGGGAAAAGAGAAAGGACGAGGCCTCAACCAATATGAGGTCCGAAGTGCGTGACCCCAGCAAAAAGACGACGGAGGCAAGGACAAGGCCGGGGTTCGAAGTGCGTGGCCCCAGGAAGCTCAAGCTGAAGAAGACAGAGGTAAGAACGAGGCCGGGAGGGCTTATCCTCAACCAATATAAGTTTCCGAGGCAAGGACAAGGCAGGGAGGGCCCATCCTCAACCAACATGGGGTTCCGAGGTGTGGAAGTTCAAGCTGAAGAAGACACAGGTAGGGACAAGGCCGGGGGGGGGCTCATCCTCAACCAGTATGGGTTTCCGAGGCGTGGAAGCTCAAGCTGAAGAAGGGCAAGGACAAGGTCGGGAGGGTGTATCATCAACCAATATGGGTTTCCAAGACGTGGGGTCTCAAGCTGCAGAAGCGCAACGACAAGGCCGGGAAGGTTTATCCTCAACTAGTACGGGTTTCCGAGGCGTGGAAGCTCACAAGTCGAAGAAGACAGAGGCAAGGATAAGGCCGGGAGGGTTTATACTCAACCGATGTGGGTGTCCGGGGTATGGAAGCTCCAGCCGAAGAAGACAGAGGCAGAGACAAGGCGGGAAGGCTTATCCTCAACCGGTATGGGGTTCCGAGGTGTGGAAGCTCAAGCCGAAGAAGACAGAGGCAAGGACAATCCAAGGTATGGAAGCTTGAGCCTCAACCAATGTGGTTGCCGATGTGTGTGGTCTCAGCGACAAGGCCGAGAGAACAATCCTCAACTAAAATGGGGTGTGGGGTCTTCCCCCCGCCCCCCCTCCCCCTGAGCGCCCTCCCCCCTCCTCCTGGGGCGGGAGGGTAGTGGGCAGACACCAAAAAAACTGAAATGGTGTTGGTTCCCACCCCTCCCCGGCCCCCTCCCCCACCCTCCCCCCTTCCCTCCCCCTCCCCACCCGGTGCCTCCTCCGGGGGGGTGGCACGAGTCTCACGGGGGGTAGTGGGCAGACACCAAAAAACAACCCGCAACCAAGTGGGGTGTGGGTTCCCCTTCCCCCGCACCCCTCCCCACCCTCCCCCCCCCCTCCCCCCCACCCGGTGCCCCCTCCGGAGGGTCCCCCCGCTCCCTCCCCCCCTTCCCTCCCTCCCCTTCCCTCCCCCGAACCCCGCACCGCAAGGCAGTGACCTCCCCACCCTCCTCCCCTCAACCCGCTCACTTAGACCGCAACCAGCGTAGAGTGCCAGGTGCGTATCCTCAAGAAGAAGAAGGCCGGGAGCGGGAACGAAGCCGTGCAGGCTCGCCTGCATGGTGTCCCAGGTACGTGGTCCCAACCCCAAGAGACCGAAGTGAGGAGGTGAGCGCTGTCCTCAACCAATGTGGGGTTCCAGGTGCGTGGTCTCAGTCGAAGAAGGCGGAGGCAGGGACGAGGCCGGAGCACTCATCCTCAACCAATATGGGGTCCCAGGTGCGCGGTCTCAGCCCGAAGAAGGCGACGAGGCCGGAGCGCTTATCCTCAACCAATATGTTCCAGGCGCATGCTCCGAAGCGGGAGCGCTTATCCTCAACCAATATGGGGTCCCAGGTGCGTGCTCTCGCGGACCAGGCCGGCGCAATACAGGATTCCAGGCGCGTGGTCTCAGCCCGAAGAAGGCGGAGGCGGGGACGAGGCCGGAGCTGGGGTCCCAGGTGCGTGCTCGGCAGGGACGAGGCCGGAGCGCTTATCCTCAACCAATATGGGGTCCCAGGTGCGAAAGCGGAGGCGGGGACGAGGCCGGAGCGCTTATCCTCGACCAACGTGGAGTCCCAGGTACGCGATCTCGGCCCGAAGAAGGTGAAGGTGGGGACGAGGGCGGAGCACTTATCCTCAACCGATATGGGGTCCTAGGTGCGCGCCCTACCGCAGCGTGCATCAGTGCCAGGTGCTTGAAGCCAGAAGAAGGCGAGCTTCAAGAGGAGGCGACAACAGGCTCGAAGGACTTACTCTCAGAATACGTTCTCGGCGCGTGGTCTCAACCTGAAGAAGACGGAGGCGGCGACAAGGCCGGATCGCCTATCCTCAACTGTCATGGGTTCCCAGGTTCGTGGTCTGGAGAGAACAGAAGCCGAGACCAGGCCGGAGTGCCTATCCTCAAGCAATATGGGGTCCCAGGTGCGCGGTCTCAACTTGAAGAGGATGGAGGCGGGAACCAGGCCGGAGCACTTGTCCTCAACCAATATCGGGTCCGAGGTGCGTGGTCTCAACTCGAACAGGACGGAGGCGAGGAGAGGCCGGAGTACCTATGCAAGGACAAGGCTGGGAGGGCCCATCCTCAACCAACATGGGGTTCCGAGGTGCGGAAGTTCAAGCTGAAGAAGACACAGGTAGGGACACGGCCGGGGGGGGGGCTCATCCTCAACCAGTATGGGTTTCCGAGGCGTGAAAGCTCAAGCTGAAGAAGACAGGGGCAGGGACAAGGCCGGGAGGGCTCATCCTCAACCAATATGGGGTTCCGAGGTGTGGAAGTTCAAGCTGAAGAAGACAGAGGCAGGGACAAGGCCGGGGGTGAGCCATCCTCAACCAATATGGGTTTCCGAGGCGTGGAAGCTCAAGCTGAAGAAGGGCAAGGACAAGGCCGGGAGGGTTTATCATCAACCAATATGGGTTTCCAAGACGTGGCGTCTCAAGCTGCAGAAGCGCAACGACAAGGCCGGGAGGGTTTATCCTCAACCAGTATGGGTTTCCGAGGTGTGGAAGCTCACAAGTCGAAGAAGACAGAGGCAAGGCCGGGAGGGCTTATCCTCAAACCAATGGGTTTCCGAGGCGTGGAAGCTCAAGCTGAAGAAGAATATCCTCAACCAATATGGGTTTCCGAGGCGTGGAAGCTCAAGCTGAAGGAGACGGAGGCAAGGACAAGGCCGGGAGAGCTTCTCCTCAACCAATATGGGTTTCCGAGGCGTAGAAGCTCAAGCTGAAGAAGACAGAGGCAAGGACAAGGCCGGGAGGACTTATCCTCAACCAATATGGGTTTCCGAGGCGTGGAAGCTCAAGCTGAAGAAGGGCAAGAACAAGGCCGGGAGGGTTTATCCCCAACCAATATGGGTTTCCCTCAAGCTGCAGAAGGGCAACGACAAGGCCGGGAGAGTGTATCCTCAACCAATATGGGTTTCCGAGGCGTAGAAGGCTCAAGCTGAAGAAAAGAAGAATATCATCAACCAATATGGGTTTCCGAGGCGTGGAAGCTCAAGCTGAAGGAGACGGAGGCAAGGACAAGGCCGGGAGAGCTTCTCCTCAACCAATATGGGTTTCCGAGGCGTAGAAGCTCAAGCTGAAGAAGACAGAGGCAAGGACAAGGCCGGGAGGACTTATCCTCAACCAATATGGGTTTCCGAGGCGTGGAAGCTCAAGCTGAAGAAGGGCAAGAACAAGGCCGGGAGGGTTTATCCCCAACCAATATGGGTTTCCCTCAAGCTGCAGAAGGGCAACGACAAGGCCGGGAGAGTGTATCCTCAACCAATATGGGTTTCCGAGGCATGAAGGCTCAAGCTGAAGAAGACAGAGGCAAGGACAAGGCCGGGAGAGTGTATCCTCAACCAGGAGAAGACAGAGGCAAGGACACGACCGGGAGGGCTTATCCTCAACCAATATGGGTTTCCGAGGCGTGGACGCTCAAGCGGAAGAAGACAGAGGCAAGGAGGAGGCCGGGAGGGCTTATCCTCAACCAATATGGGTTTCCGAGGCGTGGACGCTTAAGCGGAGGAAGACAGAGGCAAGGAGGAGGCCGGGAGGGCTTATCCTCAGCCAATATGGCTTTCCGAGGCGTGGACGCTCAAGCGGAAGAAGACGGGGGCAAGGACCAGGCCGGGAGGGCTTATCCTCAACCAATATGGGTTTCCGAGGCGTGGAAGCTCAAGCGGAAGAAGACGGGGGCAAGGACGAGGCCGGGAGGGCTTATCCTCAACCAATATGGGTTTCCGAGGCGTGGAAGCTCAAGCGGAAGAAGACGGAGGCAAGGACGAGGCCGGGAGGGCTTATCCTCAACCAATATGGGTTTCCGAGGTGTGGAAGCTCAAGCCGAAGAAGACGGTGTGGAAGCTCAAGCTAAACAAGACAGAGGCAAGGACACGGCCGGGAGGGCTTATCCTCAATACGGAGTCCCATTCAGGCGAACACTGAAGGAGACGGAGTCGCCGAAGGCGAGCCATGGAGTATCCGCGCTCGCAAGCGGGACAATTGCAAAAGGATATCAGAGAAAGAGACCATCACTGAGCATGTAGTGCAGCCAGACGCATGCAGGAGTACCTGCTCCCAGCAGCTTATGAACGCAGCTCTTGTTCATTGAGCAATTCCTAGCCAGCGGTCCCCCTCGGAGAAGCTATGGCGACAGGGACAATCTGTTTCGAGAGATCGGAAGGTATACTGCGGTGCTGCGCCCGCACCTGAGGATGTGTCGCGGGAAACTACTTCTCATTTACTCGGCTTTGTTTTTACGCCAGGAGTGCAAGGAATATGCCCGATACTTGGGCATCGACCCCGGATACGAGGGAGAAGAGACACACAACGCGATGTTGTGCCCGAGCCTCGGACGCTCTACGAGGGAGGAGTCCTGATATGCCGTTTACCTTTATCGAGGCCCTCCCTGTGCACGCCGACTCGGGTTGTGTCCGTCGGGGCCTTAAGAAGCGCTCGTGATGTCTCTGCTGAACACGATGGCGCTGCAGGCCCCGCCGCCGTGACAGAGCCGGGAAACCGGAGCGCGAAGCTCCGAGCCCGTTGGACAGCATCAAGAGCCAACTGGGCGTCAGGGGCCGAGCAACGCACACCAAGCCAGCATCTGCCGACGGTGGTTGACGCTAGTTGCGCTAGGCCTGTGCCACCGTCGAAGAGAAAAGAAATCTTCTCAGGAAGAATGGGTGGGCAGGCCAGCAAGCAAGAGCGAGAGAACAGAACCTGCACACTGACGTGCAACCAGGATACATTTGGCAAAGGGTGCCGCACGGCGCGTGGATACCCTGGTGGTATCTTTCGGACAGCATTTGTTTCTGGGAAGAGGATGTCTTCCAGGCCGGACCAGCACAACGAAGAAGAACATGCGGGCACGTCCCTGCCACAGCACAGCCCAGGAGGCCACGGCAGCCGTCTGAGCGCCAGGTCCGGCGATAAGAACCTCTTCCCTTGAGAGTCCAAAAGGTGCACGGGAAGCACTTGCATCACGCGCATGCACTCTTGGGGTATGCCCGATGACTACGAGCGACTCCTATCCGACGCAGCTGTTATTCAGCATTCAGTAGACACATACGGGGAGATATAGCATGGTCTCAACCCGAGGAAGGCAGGGGCGGGGTCGAGGCCAGGGCGTTTATCCTCAACCAATATGGGGTTCCAGGCACGTGGGCTCAACCCGAGATGAAGACGGAGGCGGGGACGAGGCCGGAGCGCTTATCTTCAACCCACGTATACTCAACCAATATGGGGCTTCAGGTGCATGGTCTCAACCTGAGAAGAACACGGAGGCGGGGATCAGGCCAGAGATATCCTCAACCAATATGGGTTTCCGAAGTCTGGGATCTCAGGCCGGAGGCGGGGACGTATCCTCAACCAAGATGGGGTTTCAGGTGCATGGTTTTAAGCTGAGAAGACGGCAGAGGCGGGGACGAGGCCGGAGCGCTTGTCCTCAACCAATATGGGGTTTCAGGGAAAGCGAAGGCGGGGACAAGGCCGGAGCGCTTATCCTCAACCAAGATGGGGTCCCAACCCGAAGAAAGCAGAGGCTGGGACGAGGCCAGAGCGGTTACCCTCAACCAATATGGGGTTCCAGGTGTGATGTGACGTCTCGCAGCCCGAAGAAACTGGAGGCGAGGACGAGGCCGGAGCGCTTACCCTCAACCAATATGGGGTTCCAGGTGTGACGTCTCGCAGCCCGAAGAAACTGGAGGCGGGGACGAGGCCGGACCGCTTACCCTCAACCAATATGGGGTTCCAAGTGTGACATCTCACAGCCCGAAGAAAGTGGAGGCGGGAACTACGGGGTCCCAATCCGGAGAAGGCGAAGGCGGGGAAGAGGCCGGAACGCTTATCCTCAACCGATCCAGCACGCTTTTCCTCAACGTCCCAGGTGCGTGGTCTCAACCTGAAGAAAGCGGAGGGGACGAGGCCGGAGGGCTTATCCTCAACCAATATGGGGTCCCAACCCGAAGAAGGCGAAGGCGGGGACGAGGCCGGAGCGCTTATCCTCAACAAAAAAGGGGTCCGAGGTGCGTGATCTCAGCCCGAAGAAGACGGCGGCGGGGAGACCGCAGCACTTCTCCTCAACCAACATGGGGTCCCAGGTGTGAAGTCTCATCCCGGAGAAGGAGGAGGCGGGGACGAGGCCAAAGCGATTATCCTCAACAAATCTGGGGTCCGAGGTGCGTGATCTCAGCCCGAAGAAGACGGAGGCGGGGAGACCGCAGCACTTCTCCTCAACCAACATGGGGTCCTAGGTGTGAAGTCTCATCCCGGAGAAGGAGGAGGCGGGGACGAGGCCAAAGCGCTTATCCTCAACCAATATGGGGTCCTAGGTGCGTGTTCAGACAGCCCGAAGAAGGCGGAGGCAGGGACCGGGCCGGAGCGCTTATCCTCAACCACTATGGTGTCCCAGGTGCGTGGTCTGGCAGCCCGAAGAAGGGGGAGGCGGGGTATCCTCAACCAATATGGGCTCGCAGGTGCGTGGTCTCACAGCCCGAAGAAGGCGGAGGCGGGGACGAGGCCGGAGCGTTTATCCTCAACCAAGATGGAGTTTCAGGTGCACGGTTTTAAGCTGAGAAAACGGCGGAGGCGCGGACGAGGCCGGAGAGCTTGTCCTCAACCAATATGGGGTTTCAGGGAAAACGAGGCCGGGAGTGTGGAAGCTCAAGCGGAAGAAGACACGGGAGTGTGGAAGCTCAAGCGGAAGAAGACAGAGGCAAGGACGAGGCCGGGAGGGCTTATCCTCAACCAATATGGAATTCCCGAGGTGTGGAAGCTCAAGATGAAGAAGACAGAGGCAAGGACGAGGCCGGGAGGGCTTATCCTCAACCATTATGGGTTTCCGAGGCGCGGAAGACAGAGGCAAGGACGAGGCCGGGAGGGCTTATCCTCAACCAATATGGGGTTCCGAGGTGTGGAAGGGCTTATCCTCAACCAATATGGGGCTTCCGAGGTGTGGAAGCACAAGCTGAAGAAGACAGAGGTAAGGACGAGGCCGGGAGGGCTTATCCTCAACCAATATGGGGTTCCGAGGTGCGGAAGCTCAAACTGAAGAAGTGCGTAGTCCCAGGTGCGCGGTCTCAACCCGAAGGAAACGAGACTCGGGCCAAGGCCAGAGGGTTTATCCCCAACCAATCGCAGTCTCAGGGGCCTGGTTGTGCAAAGAGCTATGTGTGTCGACACGCGAAGCTGTTGCCCAAGAGAACTTGCCCAAGAGCGACAAGGCTCGCCGAGACCTGCGCAGTGTCCAACAGGACCCCGCCATGTTGTCAGAGCAGTCTTCAGGGCGATACATCGTCAGCGACGACGTGGAGCTGCCAGAGGATCGCGTCCAGTACAGCGACGTGAACCTACTTCGACAAGCCCTCCTCGACGCCCGTGAGTTCCTTCGCTCAGGCTATACGGAAATCCACTTCCGAGTCTGGAGGCGCGACGAACCGATGAAGCTTCTCTGCGCACGGAGTGCCAAGCAGCATGAGGGCACGATGGAACTCTACCTCACCTACGAGGACGGCGGCGAGGAAGAGGGCCTGCTGCATCCGGCAGGAACCGGTTGCACCGGACCGTTGTTCGCGTTTGCCAGCAGACGCCAAGACGGCATTCCAGCTCCTCGACGACGGCTGGGACGTGCTCATACAATCTTCTTCTTCAAGAACGATCTGGTGGAGTGGACGGCGGCTCGCGGCGAGAGAGAACGTTTTAGTGTCACCAGAGTAGTTTTAGACTGCGCAATGCGCTGAACGGCTCGAGCTTCACTCACCTAGGCGAGGCAAAAAGGTGCAAGGAGGGCCTGGTGCATCACATGCGGCCGCGCTCCTCCATCATGTCGCAGTCGGGCATACAGGTGCTCAGTCTCAGCGGGAACAACGTTGGAGGCGGAGACACGGACGAGTCCCGAAGGCTCGCATGCCGAGAGATTCGCCTATCCTCAACCAATACGGCGTCGCAGGTACTCCGGAAGCAAGGCCAGAGCGCTATGGGGCTCGGGGTCCGCGGTCCCAGCCCGAAGAAGGCCGCCGGAACGAGGCTGGAACGTTTATCCTCAACCACTGTGGGATTCGAGATCAGCAGCCCAGAAGCCGAAGAAGGCGAAGGCGGGGACGAGGCCGGAGCGCTTATCCTCAACCAAGATGGGGTTTCAGGTGCTTGGTCTGAAGCTGAGAAGACGGCGGAGGCCGGAGCGCTTATCATCAACCAAGATGGGGTGTCAGGTGCATGGTTTGAAGCTGAGAAGACGGCGGAGGCGGGGACGAGGCCGGAGCGCTTATCATCAACCAAGATGGGGTCTCGGGTGCGTGGTCTCAAGCCGAAGACGGCGGAGGCGGGGACGAGGCCGGAGCGCTTATCATCAACCAAGATGGGGTCTCAGGTGCGTGGTCTCAAGCCGAAGAAGGCGAAGGCGGGGACGAGGCCGGAGCGCTTATCCTCAACCAAGATGGGGTGTCAGGTGCTTGGTCTGAAGCTGAGAAGACGGCGGAGGTAGGGACGAGGCCGGAGCGCTTATCCTCAACCAAGATGGGGTTTCAGGTGCTTGGTCTGAAGCTGAGAAGACGGCGGAGGCGGGGACGAGGCCGGAGCACTTATCCTCAACCAATATGGGGTCTCAGGTTCTTGGTCTGAAGCTGAGAAGACGGCGGAGGCGGGGACGAGGCCGGAGCGCTTATCCTCAACCAAGATGGTGTCTCAGGTGCGTGGTCTCAAGCCGAAGACGGCGGAGGCGGGGACGAGGCCGGAGCGCTTATCCTCAACCAAGATGGGGTGTCAGGTGCATGGTCTGAAGCTGAGAAGACGGCGGAGGCGGGGACGAGGCCGGAGCACTTGTCCTCAACCAATATGGGGTCTCAGGTGCGTGGTTTTAAGCTGAGAAGACGGCGGAGGCGGGGACGAGGCCGGAGCACTTATCCTCAACCAAGATGGGGTTTCAGGTGCTTGGTCTGAAGCTGAGAAGACGGCGGAGGTAGGGACGAGGCCGGAGCGCTTATCCTCAACCAAGATGGGGTGTCGGGTGCATGGTTTTAAGCTGAGAAGACGGCGGAGGCGGGGACGAGGCCGGAGCGCTTGTCCTCAACCAATATGGTGTCCCAGGTGCATGCTCCCAAGCACGAGACTTCAACCTCAAGAAGAACGAGGCCGGGACGAGACTGGAGGGCGTATCCTCAAAGAATATGCGGTCCCAGGTGCATGTTCCCAAGCGCGAGGCCTCAAATTCACAAAGACAAGGCCGGGATAGGCATACACTTCACAAGTCGTCGTGATGAAGAGATCGCACAGTCAGCTATGCACGCATGTTCCAGACTAGTCGGATCATGGACCGGTGGCTTTGAAAGGGAGGCAAGCGAGCCAGTGGCACAGCTGCAACTGGGGCTCAGGCGTGCGATAGAAACCAGTAGTTCACGACAGCTCGACGCGATGGATACACCGGTACTTTTCAGCGCCTTAAACTGCACTTGCCGGACGGCAGCAAAGAAATGGACACGTCTACCCCACAACCTGAAGCTGGCCATTTCGCAGTTCACGAGACGCTCGGATTGGGCACTGAGGCTAGGACACCTAGCGCTGATCGGTGCACTCTCCAGGTACCCGATGCTGGCTTCGAGAGCCACAGACGACTTCGACTTTGGCCGGCGACTCCAATACTTTTCAGTCCAGGATCTACAAGGGCTTCCGAGAAACACCAAGAAGACCATCCGTCTCTGCATCGCGAACCTTCGGGCTTTCGAGAAGAAGAAGAAGCAGAAGGAGAGGACAGAGCTCCGGAAGCAGAAGCAGGAGGAACTCCTGAGACGGAAATTCGAAGCAACAAAGATTGTGGTCGAGCGCGCGGCCGAAGCTCTGATAATGATCAGAGAACACATTCGCCGTAGGACACCTAGCTGAAGGACATTGTTTCACACGTGACACAGCAATAACACGGGAAGAAAGGTGAGTTGCGAGAATACATAGATCGTCTTACGTCAGTGTCCGGTGACATTATCTGCAAGCACGATGGGATTGCGAGGAAGAAGACAGAAGCAAGGACACGGCCGGGAGGGCTTATCCTCGACCAATATGGGGTTCCGAGATCTGGAAGCTCAGGCTGAAGAAGACGGAGGCGAGGACAAGGCCGGGAGGGCTTATCCTCAACCAATATAAGGTTGCAAGGCGTGAGAGCTCAAGCTGAACGAGATGGATGCAAGGACACGGCCGGGAGGGCGTAACCCCAACCAATAAGGGGTTCCGAGGCGTGGGATCTCAAGCAGAAGACGGCGGAGGCGAGGACGAGGCCGGAGCACTTATCCTCAACCAAGATGGAGCTTCAGGTTCTCAAGCAGGAGACGGCGGAGGCGGGGACGAGGCCGGAGCACTTATCCTCAACCAAGATGGGGTGCCAGGTGTGTAGTCTCAAGCCGAGAAGACGGCGGAGGCCGGGACGAGGCCGGAGCACTTATCCTCAACCAAGATGGGGTTTCAGGTGCATGGTTTTAAGCTAAGAAAACGGCCGAGGCGGGGACGAGGCCGGAGCGCTTATCCTCAACCAATATGGGCTCCACGAGGCCGGAGCGCTTATCCTCAACCAACATGGGCTCTCAGGTGTGTGGTCTCAACCCGAAGAAGGCGGAGGCAGGGACGAAGCCGGGAAGCCTTGTCCTCAACCAATATGGGCTCCCAGGTGCGTGGTCTCCACCCGAAGAAGGCGGAGGCGGGGACGAAGCCGAAGAGCTTATCCTCAACCAAGATGGGGTTTCAGGTGCTTGATCTGAAGCTGAGAAGACGCCGGAGGCCGAGACGAAGCCGGAGCGCTTATCCTCAACCAAGATGGGGTTTTAGGTGCTTGGTCTGAAACTGAGAAGACGGCGGAGGCGGGGACGAAGCCGGAGCACTTATCCTCAACCTAGATGGGGTTTCAGGTGCTTGGTCTGAAGCTGAGAAGACGGCGGAGGTAGGGACGAGGCCGGAGCGCTTATCCTCAACCAAGATGGGTTGTCAGGTACACGGTTTTAAGCGGAGAAGACGGCGGAGGCGGGGACGAGGCCGGAGCACTTGTCCTCAACCAATATGGGGTTTCAGGGAAGGCGGAGGCGGGGACGAAGCCAGAGCGCTTATCCTCAACCAAGATGGGGTTTCAGGTAATTGGTCTGAAGCTGAGAAGACGGCACAGGCGGGGACGAAGCCGGAGCGCTTAAGTCTCGGGTGCATGGTCTCAAGCCGAGGAAGACGGCGGAGGCGGGGACGAGGCCGGAGCACTTGTCCTCAACCAATATGGGGTTTCAGGGAAGGCGGAGGCGGGGACGAAGCCAGAGCGCTTATCCTCAACCAAGATGGGGTTTCAGGTGCTTGGTCTGAAGCTGAGAAGACGGCACAGGCGGGGACGAAGCCGGAGCGCTTAAGTCTCGGGTGCATGGTCTCAAGCCGAGGAAGGCGAAGGCGGGGACGAGGCCGGAGCGCTTATCCTCAACCAAGATGGGGTTTCAGGTGCACGGTTTTAAGCTGAGAAGACGGCGAAGGCACGGACGAGGCCGGAGTGCTTGTCCTCAACCAATATGGGGTTTCAGGGAAAGCGGAGGCAGGGACGAGGCCGGAGCGCTTATCCTCAACCAAGATGGGGTCTCAGGTGCACGGTTTTAAGCTGAGTAGACGGCGAAGGCACGGACGAGGCCGGAGTGCTTGTCCTCAACCAATATGGGGTTTCAGGGAAAGCGGAAGCGGGAACGAGGCCGGAGCCCTTATCCTCAACCAAGATGGGGTTTCAGGTGCGTGGTCTGAAGCTGAGAAGACGGCGAAGGCGGGGACGAGGCCGGAGCGCTTATCCTCAACCAAGATGGGGTTTCAGGTGCACGGTTTTAAGCTGAGTAGACGGCGAAGGCACGGACAAGGCCGGAGTGCTTGTCCTCAACCAATATGGGGTTTCAGGGAAAGTGGAGGCAGGGAC